TAATATAAAATCCACAGCCAAAAAATATTAGCACGTAATTTTCACTTAAATTTGATCAAAAAGAATAAAAAAACACCAAATAAATGCTAAGAAATACTTTAGTATAACAAGATCATTATACCTGAACAAAATTTTCACTTTCTGAAATTCCTACATTAGAAAAATTTGATCGATAGGATTGGGTTAGGACTAAGGACTAGAAAAACATGGAATTGGCCACTAAGCAGTGATGAATTAATGTAAATACCTTAATCCTACGGAAGGTCAGTCGTGATCCCAATAGTCCAATGACAAAGTCTCAGACTATGAAGCTGAGCCACTCAAGCTTGAATCCACTGGGGAGCACCCATTCCTTTAGGATTGTACGTACATCTTGTAAGAGAATGCCAACTGGCACAAACCTAGGTACGAAAATCCTCAATAACTACCTCAAAACACCAAACATTAGAACACATCAGTGAAATATATTTAATGAATAAACAACGAACAATGAAAAGTAAAAGTAAAATAGCCAAAACAGATTATTATTATTTACCATAACCACATTTCATTGTATTCCACTCCATGAGAATTGAATTCAACATCCATACCAACCGACACATCATCACCATCATCATCATTTAAATTTTTCTCTGATTCAGGTTTTTGTTCATTAAGACGAAGTAATTCTCTTGTCAAGACAGTAGTTAATAGACCAGCACAACGACCAGTTAAATAATGTTCTCTTTTACTAAGGGATTTATCACCATCAACAGAATTATTAATAGCGAATAGATGGAAAAGTTGCCCCAAGAAAATTATCACTGGTGAAACAAACAATCGCGTTGATATACTAATATTATATATTCAAATAAACGGAGAAGGCGAAAAATAAAACTTAGATTGCATTCATGACAAGAGATGGCAAATAGTACTAAATAGGAAAATATATGAGCCTCAAGCAAATATGAATTTGAATCTTTACGTATGGAGACACACATAACTATTTATTATTTATTTATTCGAACACATAAATATTGGTACAAGGGGGCACCAGGTACATATGCGCCACACAATTCTCATTCGATTTGTGTGAGGGCTGTGACACTGCCCGGATGCCCAAACCGAAGCAGGTGGTTTTCTTAGGGGGCCACACCCGGAGCCTTCGACCTAAAGGTCTGATCCACAAGGCAGTTGAGCAACATAAGGAGATGCAGTCCCATGGCAGCCGGTGACCAATAATTGGTCATGTCATGTCATTTGTTCCTTCAGGGTACTGTATTCCATGTGCACCATTGGTTTGGAATTGAGGTTTTCCAACTCCCCTAGGTAAAATCTCCGTGCTCACCAACCGTATGGACACACACATATACATTAAAAACGAGGTGATGGGAGAATCAAAAATTTATAAATGGATTGTTGTTTTGAGAAAAAAATAGGGTTGAGGATCATTTAATACACTAATTAAAATTATGCAATGTATAGACCAAAACCAGAACGTTTTGGCTTAATTATCTAAAATTTCAATGACAGGTTAAGGTTATGTACATTCAAACTATTTAAATGGAAATATACTCGATCTGTCTAGCCATATGTCTCAACATACAACAACAGTCATTCGCGAAGCTTTTGCTTCGTCAGGTAGAACAATCAGTCACTCATATAATAACTGTATCTCAAAGACTAGTACACAATCCTATACGTAATTGTTGAACTGTATTAATTCAATAACAGTAAATATAAATATGACTCGATAAATTTACAATAAGAATTCATAAAAATTTAGTCAGGAATGTGCTAACAATGGTGTTAGGGTATAATCACTGCCTATTTTTCCTTAGTTTGAAAACTTGCATATTTTAAGTAATGGAATTCAACAGCTTTTTTACGATACATATTCCTACGTGTTGGCTTTATAGTCTGTATGTCTGTAAAACTTCATAAACTAATTTCCAGTGTTTTACCAACTTATAACTAGATTAAATGTAATTTTAGCTATGGAGTAGAGATAATAATTTCAAAAAATTTATGAAAAAGAACACGGGTTTAGTTGAATAATCAATAGCAGTGTGTACTTACAAGCTCATACGAGATCGGATCCAGAACCTTTTACGTTTCATAGCTGGTATGAGAATTTGGACAGTTGGGTATGAACCCAATCATCTACAGTCCCAGCTTCAGTCACATTCCGAAACAGTATGACAATCATCCCATCCCATCAGTGACAAATATCTCACTCTCAATATGAGAGCTTAGAATTTAGTCACAAGTCATCACATAATAGGTGGTTTGTGGAGTTTCCCTAATATGAATAGCTTTATAAACGAACTGACATATGGTGAAAAACATACGGTCACAACGTCTTATGTGGGATCATAAGTGTACACTTTTGGCTTCTAAATTATGATGTGTGCTCCCTCGATTTCAGTGATTTTCAGTATGGCTTGACTTTGTGATATATATTATCTTTAGATCAAATAAATCCTAAGTAATTACACAGAGATGTTTGCAAGAAACTGTTAGCCAGATGAAGCGAACAAAAGACCAAAAAACAAGGTTGACAGAAAATGTGTGCATTCATCTACTGTTGCTCAGTGCCACCAAAACACTGCATTTCATCATCTACATATTCTAAGTCGATAAGTGGACCTCGTAGTAGGAGATCAATGTCTGAAAATCCAGTCGACGAGAACGTTATTTCCAGCAGTAGGTCTATGATGAACAGAAATAGAGATAGTGGACAGCGTTTTCGGATAACGCTTGAGGTTGAGAAATCAAATGATAACTTTCCATAACCTCTGGTTCGACTGTTAGTGTTCAAGTAAAAAGCCCTCACAAGGTTTATGTACTTCTGAGGTGCACAATTCAGTGACAGACATTGACACAGAACCTCTCGGTCTACAGAGTCAAATACTACTCTGAAGTCTAGCAAAGCCGTCATTTTCGGATACTGATAAGTGTGCCTGTGTTCTAGAACCTGACGAATAATGGATGTCAATGCAGCCACGAACAGGTCTGAAATCGGCCTGATTTTCTCGTATTTGCATTTGTGAAGTGATTCTTAGGCGTCCGATAATTATTGAGGCTAGTATTTTAGATGCTATATTAGTCCAACTAATCCCTCTATGGTTATCACAGGATGATTTTGACCTCTTCTTATATATTGGAACAATCAGTGATTGCGACCAGTCAGATGGGATTACATCTAACTCTCAGATTTGAGCTAACAATTTGGTCAACCTAATCGTCGATATTTGACGACTATCCTTGAAGACCTCTGGAGTTAATGTGTCTTAACCAGCTGCACTCCTCGTTTCAGATTGGCTGAAGCTTGGGATTACATCTAACTCCCAGATTTTAGCTAAAATATTAGTCAACTTAATCGCTAGAATTGGACCACCATAATGAAAGACCTCTGGAACCAAACCATCTGGACCAGCTGCTCTTAATCGTTTCGGATTAGCTATAGCTTGTTGAACTTCAATCAAAGGCGGGGGACCTACTTCAATGTTCCATTCAGGTTGTCTGGGAATGGTGGATAGTTGTAGAGTAGCTAAAGGCCAGTTGAATTGCTCCTTAACGTGTTCCGACTATCGTGCTAAACGTCTGGACTGAGAGCAGATAAGAATGTCATCTTTTACTGAGATCGTCTCGCTTACACTTGACTTCTTAACGCTCGTTTCTTTTATTAGTCTGGAAAGCAGTCTTGTGTTACCTACAGCCGCTGCCTTTTCCATTTCGATTGCTTTCGTTGCCCAAAACTGCTCACGATCGTTACGTAGCCTTTGGTTTAACCTAGATCTGATTTCTTTACACTCTTCAACATGTTCAGAGTCTTATGAGATGAGTTCACGAGAATCCATCAGTGAAATAGTAGAAATCCATTGGTTTTTCCGAACCCTTTGGTTTAAATCACTAACAGTTATGACTGCTGTTTGTATATCTTTCAAGGGAACATCTAGGTCAGCCTCGTTTTCAGAACTGCCTAAGTGTGACCTCAGTTGTATAAAGAATCTACAAATCGTATTCTTGTCACTTAGATCAATTGCCTTCGACTCGTTGGATAGGACTGTTCTCTGGGATTGTCTATTGAAGAAGGGTGTGCCTGATAAGTTTATTAACATCCTAAAAGCCCTATATAAAAACACCTCAGGCAGAGTGAGGGCATACAACCACCTCTCTCCATTGTTCCATTCGAGTAGTGGGGTTAGGCAGGGTTGCCCAATCTCACCATTCCTCTTCAACTTTGCCATCGATGACATTCTGGAAACAGCTCTGATGAATGTAAGTAATGGTGGTGTGGATCTGTTGCCTGGAGAAAGACTTCTCGACCTTGAGTATGCGGACGATATTGCCTTACTGCGCGATAGTGCCCAAGGCATGCAACCCGCACTTAATCAGTTGGCAATCAGTGTCCGTAGGTATGGTATGTGCTTTGCACCTTCGAAGTGCAAAGTACTTCTACAAGACTGGCAGGATTCCAATCCTGTACTCACCCTGGATGGCGAGCAGATAGAAGTAGTCGAGAAGTTCGTGTATCTGGGTAGCTGCATAAGTGCTGGTGGGGGTGTGAGTGATGAGATCAATGCACGTATAGTGAAAGCCAGAGTGGATTATGCCAATCTGGGCCATCTTTGGCGCCTTCGTGATGTTAGTCTGGCTGTAAAAGGTCAGATCCACAACGCATCGGTCAGAGCAGTTTTGCTCTATGCTTGTGAAACCTGGTCTTTCCAAGTTGAGGACGTTAGACGACTATCTGTGTTCGATCATCGCTGTCTCCGAAGGATTGCTGACATTCAGTGGCAACACCATGTCAGTAATGCAGAGGTTCGGCATCGTGTGTTCGGGCACAGAGATGATAATTCAATTGGTGTTACCATCATGAAACACCGACTTCGGTGGCTTGGACATGTTCTACGAAAGTCGTCCCAGAGAATTCCACGTCGTGCATTATTTGCCGACTCTGGGACTGGTTGGAAAAAGCGGAGAGGTGGTCAGTGCATGACATGGTGTCGTGGTATGAAAGAAAGCTGCAAAGGACTGGCTTCTGTCGGTCCTTCACGACTCCCTGGTTGGGGTCTGAGAGATGGTGCTACACAGTGGCTAGAGACGTTATCAGATATGGCTCAGAATAGAAGCCAGTGGCGATCCTGCTGTAACTTTCTTTTACTTTCTTCATAAAAAGTGGTTGTGTCTCCCTTACCTGAATGATTTCTTCTGATTGTACCTTTCCATTCCCTCGTTACTACCACACTACCTTACACCAATCTCTTCGTTATCGTTCTCTTTTTCTTTTGCGCTCCTTAGTTTTTTTTTCTATCTCTCTTCGAATTTTCATTGTTTTGTGTGGCGCATATATATTGGCGCTCTCTTGTACCAATATTTATGTGTTCAAATAAATAATAAATATAATAAACACTTAGATCAATCCTAATGGGTCTTCTTAATGAGGCGCAAACAACTGCATGCTCTTATTAGAGTATGATCGGAGTTAAAACAGGTACTCCAGAACGAGCGGCAGTCTTCGATCGAGCCTCTCGAACGATGACTGACGACAATATGGTCTAGAGTCCATCGCTGTTTGGCTCAGGTAGTCGCCATGTTAGACGATGTCTCTCCTTATGCTTAAAATTAGTGCTTGCTAAAAATAAACGATTTTCTGAGCACAACTGCAGCAGACGGTCACCATTATCTGTTTGCTGAGCCGGGATACCAAAATACCCACCTAAATCTTTCTTTTTTATTTAAGCTACTTGCTTGGTCATTAAATTCATCTGCTATGATTACTATGTCTAAACGTTTAGCTTTATGAAGATGTTCAGAAGGCTTTTTGTAAAAGTCGTCTTTTACTTCATCCAGGTTGTAGGCAGTAGGAGCTTAGGCAGTAACGATGAAAGGGCAACGAAATGTGTCTCTATCCTCACGAGTTCTTACGCAGCCGTTTAGCCGAACAGCACATAGGCGACTGTTAACAAGGATCCATTCTAATAGTGCTTGTTCTGCCCTCGTACTTAGTGCCATGTCTACACCTGCCAGTCCACAAGAACTAGCCGTCGGGTCGCCAGATACACAGAGGGTGTATCCCGTCAGCTTCCACCCTGGTGAAATGAGGTCAAGTAGATGACCACACCAGGACCCTGTATGTGTATTTCGGAGACACAGCATACATCAATGGTACGAGATTATAGGGTTTTAACAAAGGAGGTCTGCTGGCCGATTTGACACAAGGTGCGTACGTCGAAGGCTCCAATATGTAGTTTGGAGTGAGGTTTCAGTAGACCTGGGACAGTGTTATGCACACTAGAATCGTTTGCCATGGTGACACTTGAGGAGCAAATTAAAAGAAGTATAGATTTGAATGTCAAGGCAGGAGGCATAATAGGAATTGAAGAGGGAGATTGATTATGAATACAGTGGTCTTGAGTGCTATTAGAGGTATGAGGGCGGTTATCACTTTCCGGTCGCCCACACTGTGGAAGGTTTTTTCTGGGGGTGCCTGAAAAGAAAATTGGGTCAGGGGTGGTCTTAGTGACTTCAGAGCATGACCGCAGTACTCGAGGGACAACTGCTTGAGGTCCGTCACACACGACCTTTTTGTGAGTAATTTTCGTGTTAGCCCAGTACTTGTTAAGACCTTACCGCCGGAGACGGGAATCCATATGGTAAGACGAGGTATGCATTCTTAGGGTTGACCCTTTCTAACCCCACCCCTCCTTTATAGGAAGGCAGCATCGCTATCATGCTGATTATCTGAAGGAAACACCTTACTGTCGTCACACCTATGTACAATCAGTACTACGACTTCGCCCTTGAACTTAGGGTTTGTTGCTTTTCGTTTTACCGCTCTTCAACAAACCTGTCTGGCATGGTAGGGTCTTGAGGAACGACTGTTCCAGCCAGTATAGCTCGACTGGTTCATTACAATAGGCAAGCCCGACCACCACGTCAAGGTAGTAGCAACGGTCGGAGGTCGGAAGTCGAACACCTTAACCACTAATTTAGTGAAAACTAACTACACAGGTGTTATGTAGGTATCAATTATTTAGTCACCGTTACGCTAAAACAGAGATAAATGAACTAGTGAGTGAAATTACCTAATATATATTCTATAGGATAGGGAAACTAACTCAAAGACATCAATGTTAGCTTTGATTTGGATTGTCATACAGAACAAATAAGTCATCTAAACAAACACTAATTTTATCAAAATATTTCAAAATATACGTCTTATTTAGAAGAAATTTAACACAGATAGATTTGTAGAATACCGGATAGATCTAATGATTACCACTTAGATTCATATAATTGGGTGGCGGATAACTATGATACAACAAAATAGTTAATGATGGGCAAAATCAGTTGGCAAATTATTTAACCACGTAATATATTCTTAAAATACATTAGTTTTCCATTTAATAGTATTAATAGTAGCAACAACAGAAACTTACTCTACATTCCATTTAAAACGGTAAGGTGACAGCAAATACAAATCAAATGAACGTAACCAACAGCTGGTTTCATGGTAAAACTCTGTTGTCGCGTTAGATAGATCAAAACATGATAACTGGTTAAACCACAACTTGACTAAACGCTCTTGAGTATTCTCTGGCGGTGGCCATAAAAATGGAGAGTGGTGATTTGCTGTTGAGCATCTAAATGAATAATATTCAATGTAAGTGAATAGTTCAAAAGCTGATTGATTGATTAGTTGAATCCAAAACAATATTTGATTATTCAGGTTACCCTTTGTAGAGGGATTATTAATTCCTAAAAAGAAACGCAATAAGAGTACAAAGTAGGAATAAAATATATCGATCTCTTCTTGACTTTGATACAAATACAAAGTGTACAGAATTTTAAAATTACAGCTCTGAGTGAGCTATCATAAAATGTTTAAAAAAGGAAAACATTCGAATGTACGCTGGAAACAAATAAGATGGTTCAAACACTAGATTATCAATAGTTAAGTAACAAGTCAGAAACCACTTACTTTATTCTAGTTTGCGGATATTTCAAACCACTCAGTCGCATAATCAGACGTACTGATAGACATTAGTGTTAAGTTTTACACTGCTTCTGTCTATTTAGCTACCCAAATGTAAGGTTCAATCATAACTCACTAATGATCAAATGGTCAAACTTTGAGGTCCAGCTCATGTGCAACCAGAAAAAAGACGAGATAAGGCATCGAATGACCAAATGCAAGAGAAAAATACTGTAAGGAAAATTACATTTTACCAAAAAAATGCTATTTAAACACTTTTTCAATTTCGCCTTAGGTTTACATCAACTAGTTCAAAGATTTTGCACCCATTCAAATACAGTCAATAATGCTTACTAGTGAGACATGAACCGAATCTAACTGAATAAAAAGACCCTCTCCGCATCCAGAAATAACGCTATCCAATCTCTTAAGTCGAATTTATCTGGACATACAATTGAAGAACGCGGTGGCGGTTGAGTTACATAGCTATCATTGTCATGAGACTTGATGTGAATTGTCAAAATTGTCAAAAATATATAAACAATTTATTTTGTAACAATGTCCAATAACGAAGTACATTTTCTGAGTGTTTTTTAGTGGAAATCCTATTAAGACTTATAGCGAACAGAGAAGGAAACAGAGTTACAAGTATATAAAAAACAATTCAATTTTTAAAAGCTTTGTTAATTTGAAAATTCTTTTAATCGAAAACACACTTTAGATTCGGTATACATTGAATTTTAATAAAAACAATTTTCAAGCTAATTAAATTTCTGTCTACCTGGCCTCTTGATTAGATAAAACATCCTGAAGTAACCTACTATTATATTACATCGGAATAGTGTTATAAGATTAAAGGAAATTCCCTAAGACGTTCTTCGTTTCTACATAATACTTGTTAACATCCACCGACATAACCTATAATATCTTCTACAAAGAATTGTGATCAACTGATACAGACACGAAATTCCTAGTTAGTCAATAATATATTTAAACCAGTTTCCAACTAACAAAGTTCGAACAGTTAGGAGGAGTAGTTTCAAAGCCAGGAAATAAACTTGATTTATGTGTTAATGAGGCTTTTTGATTTTGAAATATTTTAGATGCAATAATTTTGATTGAAAAACTGAGTGATTCGACCCTGAATTTCTAGAGCAATGTAAGTTATCTCAGGGTTTTAAGTAAATCTAAATGATGAATGCCAACAAACACTAGTCCAATAGGATAGGTCAGTTTACTATTTAAAATTATTATACAGTTATAAATAACCTACTTCGGATAGAATTGAACGTATTATTTGTAGAATAATCATTGGAATTAGTCGTTGAAGTTGAATGATCATAGTCGACAACAGTTGAATCACTATGATCATCAACGTTGTCAATATTATTATTGTTATTATCATCAGTAACACCAGAAATAATAGCATTTTTCAACTGACGTTTCAATTGTTTATTTCTACGTTTACGTTCTTGTTTAAATTGTTTTCTAGTTAAATTAACTGATTTTTGTCCATTGGATGAGTTTAAAAGAAATGCAGCATTTCCAATTTGATTATTTTTAATTTTTTGTAACTTTTGTTTATTACACTTTATGTACATAAGTAATGAAGAATCAGGAGATAATTGTAATGGGTAAATTGAATAAAATTTGGCCAAAAAACGCTCCAATGATGTGGATAAATCTGGTGAACTAAAAATAAAATTTTCGAATTAATAACACGAAGAAACCAATAATAATTCAAACAAGATAGTTCTTTTTAAGCAAGAAGAAAAAAGATTTTCAAATGAATATTCTAGAGATGTATTGAGAGAAATAAAACGTCATGCACACAAGCAAACATATAAGCATTCAAAGAAGATTTCAGTTTAAAAACGATGAATAGAATGAATGAAACAAGCTTTAAGCTAATGAGACTACAGGTTTATAAAATTGCTGATTATTTTTATATCAACTGTAAATTTGAACTAAGTAAGATTGAAGTGATGATAAAACTTAATGCTTAGAGGAACAATGAATGAATAAATGAAAATTATTCTCTGAATTTATGCCGTTTTTTTTCTACCTCAGTGATTTTCTTCTCATTAACTTGATAATGAGACGGTGGGAACTCTAAGTAAAGGCTTTTAACTTGTATACTGCGTCGTTTTTAAAAAAATAACAATATATATATATATATATATATATATATATATATATATATATAACTTAAAATTCGAGAAAAAGAATTCAATCGGAGCGTAATTCTATGCTTGTTGATTTTCAATGCTTTTTTAGTTTATATTAATCTATGACGAAAACTGTTTTCAAGATAATAATAATAATAGTGAAGACAATAATCATTGTCTTATTGACGAAAAAGCAAGAATGAACTTGGTAATCAAGATGAAGACAAACTGATTGAAGAACTATATAAACCAATCAACCTACACGTAAAATAAAGCCAGTACATCTCAAATTAAAGGACAAAAAAAGAAACTTAAGACAAATATGAAATAAATCATAAAAACCAAGCACGACAATGAACGAATATGAAAGTAAAGTCGAACAAAATGATAAGTCTTCTAACTGAACGCTCGAGTAATTTTCCTAAACACTTCAAGTAACTCCAAGCTAAATCTATGGGGAAACTTGAACACGAGAGAGAAGGTGCAAAGTGCAAAAAGAATGCCATATTCGAAGGTAAGTTTAAGTATATTAAATCGATGGTATTTATGGTATTTTAAATAGCCTTGGGTTTCTGAAAGTTTCTGGAACCACAGAAAATATAATAGCAGGATAGGTAATTATCCAATCAGAAATTAAACACGTGACTCTTCACTTTCTACATGTTTCTGACAAGCTTATATTTAACGTTAACTGGAAAAATTGTCTCCCAGTGTTTAGTGGAATAAATAGGATTTCTCCAACAAAAGAATGAAAATGAGTTTGTAGGTATCAATGCCAAGGTTTGACTTGGTAGTTTCAAATAAATTGATTTAATAATAAATATATTTTTTGCCATATTCAATGAGATTAGAATATTATATATATATATATATATATATATGATCAAAAGAATGAAAATACCCAGTTTGTTTTGTAGACTGTATACTTCGAGGTCAGAGATCACTTGTGAGATATGTCATTCAGGGTTTCAATAAACTAATTATTACTCTCTTGTTGAAATGGGTTAAAAAACCGACATCAGTCCGACAAAAATAACAAAAAGAAAAACCTTTGATCTTTAATTTCATGTTGAATATTCCATACTGTGCTAAACATTGTATTGAGTCAAAGGATTATACCTGTAATTTTCCTCATTTCATTAGATCAACATTTGATTTTTTGCTTTAATAATTTTAACTTACACTATAAAGTTCCACCACTTCAAAATCATCTATCGTATAAATAAACGTTTGAATAAAACATACAGAGTAGTTCATTTGAGTGAAATTAATGAAAAGTAAGTTGAATTAGTGAATTAACAGTACCATAACACCAAAACATACATAATAAATCAGATAGCTATGAAATTAAAAATTCTAATCGGACAATATTGTAAATCAGACAAGAAAACGTGATTATTTTTTAGTGACTCAGGCAAATAGTTTTAAAACAATGAAACTCAGTAACACACTAACACTCACATTTCATTTACATCCAATCTCCAACCGGAATAATCACGTTTCACACTAGAATGCGAAGTGAAAAAACTAACTTCTTTTGTTTCGAAGACAACACGTAAAGCACGAAGAAGATAGTACAGGCTGCTTAATACTTCCTCATTCGGATTTTCATTTAGTTCTATGCAAGAAAAAAAGTTAAACAAAACGTCGGATATATGGTGCACTTAAAAAATCACAAATTAGTACTTGCCTCTTAACAGTATAACTTATTTAGTAAATATAGTCTTGTGTTGTCGATTTCCAGTTACACTGCATGAAGGCTAGAAATACTACAAGGTTGGGGAAAAGGAAGAACGTGAAACACAGTTTAAACCAGCAGCATACTGATTGAATTAACAAAAGACAAATTAAGTCATCCACCACGTACTTAGGTATGAGTCACACTCTTGAAGTGATGGCTAAAAGTAATGGTCACCTGCCTAAACGGAAGATAAGAGTGAGGCTCGAACATGGTATTTAAAGGCTAAAACCAGAATGCTTTGACTTTTTTCTAGGGAACATTTATAGTGAAGATGATCAACAAATAACAATGAAACAGATCTGAATATAGAAACATGATGATATACTAAAAACATTATTTGGGCATATAAAATGTTGTAGACAACTTGTTTTCATCTTGTTTTTCCTATGGTCTACGATAATCTTCAAACCTACCTTCTATCTTGGAGATAACAGAAGGTAAGATAAAAGTCTTGATACACCGCCTAAAGGCATCTTTAGTGAGTGGGTAATGTCATAAAAATTTTAGTTTTTATCTATACATGATTCAAGCTTCACTAAATATGTCCCGAAAATCTGAAACAACAATTTAAGTCGAAAAATTCATATTAACTAACCATCCAATAGAACCAAGCCTTCACCAATCAAGCCATGTATCATAACCTGGTCATCGTAGTCCTCTTGACACCCAGTTGGAGTATAGGCAATCGAAGAACTGTCAGAAATCTCTCTGCTTGTAAAATTCCTTTGATTCTTCTCACTCCGTTTATGCTGATAACTTTTATTGTTCACGACAATGTTTTTAATTGAGGAAGGGAATATTAGAGACTGTTTGACAACACTGAATAAACCAGAATCAAAAGTACGCGATGTAGGATGGAAATCAATCAATTCCTTGAGATAATACCCTTTCAAAGGAATATACAGTTGAAGATGTTCGTTTGAAAAATACGGTAAAGAGTACAACCAAGGATGATGACTTTGAGAATAACTCAGAGACATCGTATATTGATTATCTTTCAAATAAACCATGGTAGTTCGAACCAAATATGCACGATACTTCGATAAAGTTTTGAAAGTGCGCTGAAAAACGTCGAAAGATAAATGGAGAAACACATTGTAAAGTCTTGTAAAAGACGAGTATATATGTTAGCCTTCCACCTCATCTTACTACTAACCTTTTGGTGGGAAATGATAAATATTTACTTACAGTCCGGCAGTTTCTAAAAGCCTTCGTATATTTTAAGCTACTTATGAGTAGTGCCAATATTACTACAAAAAACCAACAAGTCGATTGGATGTAAGGCGTGGTTTCATTCCAAAGCATCTCAGAAAAATGTACAAACGTACCTCATACAAAAAGCAAATACCACTTCTTTCAACCGAAAACCCTTATATGGATCCAACCTCAGTGTAGCTTCAACATGCAAAAAAGCGAAAATAAAATTTGAAATCTCCTCTTCTATACAATCACTTTAAAATTCGTCATAAGGCACTTCCTCATGTTGTTCGAAGAATTGTAGTTCAGCTGTAACATAAACTCATACGCGGTCAGAAGAACAAATGGTTGCAGAGAGACAGGTAGATATCATCAACAAAAAGCCGGGCACAGTTATGAGTTGAATCAAGTTAACATAAGTGGTACGAGATGGGATGCAAGAGAAAACGAAATAATGTAAAAATAATAATAAAAGAAACTAAGGGCTGAGAGTATGGTCCGAAAAGGCTGTGGAAAGGTATATATTGGAGGAATAATGGAGTTCAAGATCGTGAAGATCACTGTGAACAATTCCGAGCCATACCATCCAGTCTTCAACCACCGATTGAGGTTACCAGAGATTTACCAGTAACAACAAAAAAGGCTAAGACCACAGTCAATACATTCAATTCTTGGGAATATTTTAGGGTATTTTTCCTAAATAGAATATGAAATAACCCAAGGTAATTGATATTCTCCAACACTATACCAATAATCATAAATAAGTCTTACATTCGCTCATTTAATAGCCTTATCATATAGCAATATTAACTAACAGAGTTTTGTGCGATATCATATAACGGATGGTGGAAGTACATAATTACTGAAGTATTTCAAAAAGACCACCATACATGCAAGTTTCATTTTCATATTTGAATATGACTAGATGCATGTAACATTTTGTGTTTATGCTTTTTGATTTTCTGTTTGTACCTATACTTCACTATCTTAAGGTGAGTAGTTAATATAATCTCCTGTAACACAATGAAATGATACGAAATATTCTTATTATACATTATTTCATTCCACTTAGATATACCGTTTGAATGTAAATTTATCTTTTTATTTATGTGATGAACGCACTTCATAAATGGAATTTTGTAACTGTCGTCCTGTATTCTATACCAAAACTGGAGCTGGTTGTCGAAAGTGTGTAACGTAGGTAAGTGATTACTTCTCGATTGATATACTAGAATTTTACTTGTGGTATCTAAAATAATATATGCGAATAACCGGTCCAACGATTTTTGAGTAAGTTATTCAGCATTCACTTCTGTTTACTAATTCGTAGCCAATTCATATTGTTCTATATACTACGTGATTTATGATATGTAGTTACATTATTATCTCTCTCAACCTATGTTAACTATATTTACTCTGTTCATTTATCTCATAATTTCACCTAACGTATAAGCTTATTCAAGTTAAGACTTTATATTAGTCATCCCGACATTAACGATTTCATTTTATTTTATATTACAAATGATCCTAACTTCCCATGCTATAATTTAAATTGATATACTCTGCCTTGAGCCTAGTCATTTTTGGATTAATTTGGATATATAATTGTAGAATCTGAAGAGAACTTATTGAAAAGAAATTCTTCGTTCGTATATATGTTTTAATACGGGAAGTTTTCAGCAACTAGAAGTGGAATTAAATGATTTGAATCGTAAGGGGTTTCCTTTTGTTAAACATGTAACAAAGCAAAGATTTGAATTGCTTTTCTATTTTTTTACACAATTAATAAAAAAATATTTTAAAGGGACATACATTTTGTCTTAAATTATTATAGCATTGAATCATAAGATTAGAATAAGCTCGAAAACGTATTGATTGTTGAAGTGAATCGAAAACTCCTGAATAAACTGATTTTGTTCGGTTGGATGGTTGATACAATATGCTCATAGTCGTTGTTAACCTACAATGTAGACCAAATGTATAGGCAGACAGGTGGCATCCGAAAAATTTCCAAACTAGTTCACTTCTGTGTAAAAGATTAAGAACAACCTGATCCAACTCGAATATTATATCTGATATCTTCGGGTGAGTATACGCTATCTGGAACACATATATTGAAAAGTGGAGCAATATATGAAGGTTTATAAATAATAATAGAATAGAAAACGACTCATGAGAGTAAGTAGCATAACTCTTGCCATTATGGAAGGAGTAAATTATAATATTTGCATGAGAAATTCGGTAATTTACTAAACATAAACAATACTGGGAAACGTCATATCAAAAGGTCAAATTAACAACTGCCAACCAACTAAAGTCAAATGTAAAAAACCGCTGAACAAGTCCGAATACATCTTGTATTACCATGAAAGCCTTACTAAAAGTCAAATACATGTTAATTATTGGTACATAGTGTATTTTTTACAGTATTCCTTGTCCTGCAATGCAATTTTACATACGTTAACATATTAAACAGTTCAGAATACAACTCGAAATTGTAACGAACATTCTTGAACGTAACTGATTCCGTCTGCGAGGGGGATAACTAACGCCAAAGGCTACAGAACAAAGAAACGAAAAAGTAATAGGATACCTGATTCAGTTCGTTCCATTTGCAAATAATATTAAGAGGGGCGTACCACACCAAACTTTTATTTGGAAGTGGTAACTTATCACGGAACCCAATTATGACTAATATCCCTTCACATTTCGATATATCAGTAAGTGATTTGGCTAAAAACTAGCAATTAGATGAGATGTATTTTTCTGTCGATAACATTTAAAATAAATTTCCATCCGAAATAAAACACGCAAGAAATCCATTCTTACTGATGAACTCAAACCCAGTATTATGGTGGTACATAGTGGCTCACTGAAATGGAGCAACTTAAAAATAATCACAGCTTAGACAATAGCGTTGCGGAGAAGTCAACATAGAAGAAAATGTAAATCTTGAGACCCGTTTACGAATTATCATCATTATTTATATTTTTGTTGCATAACCAGTAAACAGTCGTATTACTGTATTTATATATTCTCCTTATTGTAAACTCTCAGTGGACTTATGAACTTTTCATACGATTTGTTGTTCCTTAATAATTGTTAATTAATTATGTACTGTTTGCTCTGCTCCCGTGCGCTTATGGCATGATTGTATGTAAAGTATGATTTCATATTTCGAATGCGCTGCAGTTTGATAATTTATATAAACTAACGAGTATTTAGGGTAGATATAATGGATGGTTGGAATATGGAACAGAAGTTTGACTCCTGTGTTCCGTTTTCGGAACGACGACTAGGGATAAATGAACCAACAGAAGTATGCACTAATTGTCACACAAACTCAGGGTTATTTTTACCAATACAGGCGTACAATTGGTCGAAGCCTAGGATGCTAGCGATACAAAAGGGGCCCCCAAATGCCCTGGTATGGCCGAGAGTGGGGTGGGCCCGCCCTCCCTCTCGAAGTGCTCCCACACGGCCACGCGTACATAGCCTCTGCCAGGGAAGTCCTACTCTTTGCCTTCTCGTTGCGGGGGTGTTTTTTACGAAAATGAGAGGACGAAAAGCAAATGCCCGGCGCTTTAACCGGATCCCAAACCAATAGTGCACATGGGCTCCAGTATCCTGAAGGGACAAATGGGGTATGAACCAATCGTTGGCCACCGGCTACCATGGGACTTCATCTCCTTACGATGCTCTACTGCCTTGTGGGTCAGACCTTAAGGTCAAAGGCTCGGGTTGTGGTCCCCTAAGAAAACCACCTGCTCCGGTCTGGGCACCCGGGCAGTATCACAGCCCTCACACAAATCGAATAATTTATGTGGCACATATTTATTTGGTGCCTCCTTGTACCAATATCTGTGTTAAAATAATAACAATAATAATAATAAGACAAAAGGGTAGAGAAATTCTAATCAGAATTCTAATCTGAGAATCGAACAAGTGATATCGACTAACATCACAGACATGACAAGCAGACCAAACAAAACCATATTTTGGGATACAAATTTTTATCGGTTACCCAGAAATATCAATCACTAGGAAGGGTAACGAAAGGTTAGATCATAAGTTATTAGGACAAGCATAACAATTATGCTTAGAACTAATCAGTTACACAAATAATAAGTTCAATCGCTTTGTGAATAATATTAGTGTATTCTGACTCGAATGTAAAGAAGGTTTCATGGGGTTTAGCTTAGTTACACAACGATTGTTGCTAAAAACAGTAGACTAATCGAATTTGAGCAAAATGAATATTCAAATAACTGACCCATATCTTTTTCACAAAGCAAACATTATTATTAGATTACTGAAGTAAGCCAGCTAAAATATGGTCACAACAAAAAAACCAACCTAACATATTACAAGAAAGGAATATAAGTGATGAATTGGTGAGCCAAAATCACATAATCCTTGTATAACCAAGTAGAGTGAATATACGAACATTATAAAAACTCATAAACTTACTTGTACAATCTTAACGAACAGCTGACAAATCTCATCGCAGAAGCGAGGGTCATCAACTCGTCTACAAAATCGCCCAAGTACGAATATTAGGTTTCCGATTTGAATATCACACCCTGTATTCACAGTAGAACCCAATAGTTTCTGATGTTCATCGACTACTTTTGATATAAAGTTGCTGGATAGAGATAAAACATTTTTATCTAAAAATGGAATTGTGGTTATTCCTTTTGCCAGTGGATCCAAGAGACGATTAAGAGCCCGTAAAGCGGACTGGCGAAGAGCACTATCCTCAATGTTTAGTGAATGAATAGAACTTTCAAAGATTCGAACACTAGTTTCATCCCCTTGTATCTAGGTTATTCATCATATATAATTAATAAATGTGCACACCTTGCAAATTTCGCGTTCTTTAGGAAGGATTATTCTCTTCTTTTGCAAATTGATTACTGTCTCGTTTCGGCATTTTAATTTTCGTCCAACTTTAACTCGAACCTTTTGAAAGTCTTTTTTACTTTTCACCATAACTTCAAGCAAAAGAATAGTTGAAGGTAATAACAGATATTTCAAGATATAAGTTGCGTCGCTAGTCTGAGCAACTAGCTAATGCAATTGGCTTTCAAACAAATAGAAAATAACAGCCATATATGCAAGAATGTGGTTGCTCAGTCTTAATGACCCACAAATTACCCAAAGAAGTGTAACAAAATAGACGTATGATAAAGAACGTACTCAAGCGACTTTTGGATAAATCTATTCAACATAACTTCGACCAAGACTCAGTACTTGCCATTTACGTGTCCATTTACTTCCGAAACGCAACTATTTTTAAAAAAGCCATGGCAGCCAGACAAAGAAGAAAGGTATTCGGTTGCGACAGTTAGGGTTCACAGTCAATAATAATAAAGACTAGGAATTACTGGTATAAATTAGGGACTGATATGTAAATTAAATGTTTTCACATTTATGTCTATCGCTTACCTACCTCAGTTACATAGAGTTAGGATTCTTTTTTAGTGACAACAAAAAAAACAGCTGAACTAGAGCATTTCACATTCCATATAATAGTGAGAACTGCTAAACGATTTGTTGGATAACCTTTTCTGTCTGAACCTCTAATAGTAGTCCTGCTAGTCGAAAAGTTTGATAAGGCTCACGACTGAACAAACAACTTGAACAAGTTTGTCGGTGTCTGATATGCCATAAACACCAATCATAATAAGCAAGTTACTTCACGGTTACTTCTTACAGAAATCTACCTCAAAGATAAGACAATCTAATGCATAACTTGTCGTTGTCAAAACACATGTTCTCTAGTGACCGGAAAAATGCTGGTATTGATGTAGAGTTGTTTCGTTTTTAAATCTTATGCATCTAGTGTTGTTATCTAGAGCATATCTAGCTGGATACTTAAAAAAACAATCGCTGATTTACAACAATAACTGCTGACTGTAATTTGAACCTACTAAGTGATTGAATTTTCTCAAAATCACTCTGAAAATTGTTTAAGACCGTTCACTAGATTTTTTTCACTGAGACAGGTCTTTTACTACGAACCGACACCAAAAACATACACTAGTCTCAGGTCCGTTTATAGTAAGTCAACCATTTATTATTACTGTCAGATGACCGACTTGAATGTATTGAAACCTCAACGTACCTCGTCACCAAACTTTCAGCTAAAATATAATCTATCATTTTCGAAAACCTGCATGTATATACTTCACTGAATAATATTTAACCCTCGACTTCGACAGTGACAATTTTTCAAACTTAACTATACTCATTTCGCAGTCAGCAATCCGTAAATCCCCTAAGCCAAACAACACCAATATTACCTGCCAAACACCACAGTACCGATGGGTATCGAACATTCGCTCTAGTTCAATGGTTCAAATGGTTGTGGACGGAATAGAAGAAGCTTTCGCTTAACAGGCTTCCGTGTCTAGTAGCAAAAGATCACCAATACATCCAGGCAGGAAACTAGGTATACTAACTATAATATACTGGAAAAAATTGGTAATTCATATAAAAATGTTATCTTGAGTCCTTAAGAATAGGTCAAGTTTCCTCATAAAGGACTCCTGGAAAATTGCTTGGACTAGTTCAGTCGGCAGCGAGTTCCAGCATTTGACAACTCTTAAGGAGCAGAAGTTGTGTCTACAGTCCGTTCTGCTATGTTGTATCTGCAGTTTCTGAGTGTTATCCTTTAGGTTTGTATTGTGACTGAGCTTATGTAGGTATTTAAGGGGATGTCAAGAAGTGTTAAGGATACTGTAAGACATCAGAAGGTTACCTCTGAGACGCATATACTCTAACAGGTAAGGGTTGAGTGATTGGAGGCGCTCTTCATAAGGTTTAAATTTGAGCCCCCTAATTAAGTTCGTGTCTCGTTGTTGAATACGCTCCAGGGTGTCCTTATCCTTTTGAAGTGAGGAAGGAAATGTTATGTTTCCTTACTCCAAATGAGGACGAATAAGACTGTTAAAGATTATGTGGAAAGTTCTTCAGTCAAACTGACCAAAAATGCGCTCCAATGTTACCAGTGCAAGGTTTGCTCGGAAGGCATTTTTGTCTCAGTTAGCGTAAGACTTCAAATCGTAGGGCACAAGGACTCCTAAATCTTTTTCGACTTGGGATACTACTGGAGAGGAGTCACCTAAGTTATTACTGCAGTCTGCGACTTGTCGCAGATGGACTACTTTACACTTTGAAGTGTTAAAAGTTATCGTCTGCCCAACCTTGAAGTTGAGTCAGATCCTCCTGAAGTGCCTGTATATTGTCTTGGTTGCGTATCTCTCTCCAAAGTAATAAGTCTGAAATTACCTGTTGAAGAAGATGATTTATGTAGATCAATAAGAGAAGAGGTCCTAGGTCCCTGGAGGACCCCACTAGGACATTCCATAGCCTGAGATAAAGTGAAATTTAGATGGTGGTTGGAGGTAGTCAACAGGAAACCCTGGACCCAGGTTTCGTGCTATTTGGCACTCGTCATCAAGGTGTACCTGTAATCTTGAGGGAATTGGTGCTCCCTGGCGGATTCCTGTTGACTACCTCCAACCACCATCTAAATCTCAATACATAGTGCCCGCAGTGTCGAGTCACCTAGACTGGTGGCCACATTGCAACATGATCGATAGCACTCGATCTGCACTAATAAGGACTAGACAAGCATGACATTGATCACCTCCTAGTGATCAATCAATTGTGATAAAGTGAAATTAACCCTAACCTTAAAATGTCGATTTTTCAGGTATGAAGTGAGCCGATCGATTAGAGGTGGTTTGGAACCCAATCGTTTGAGCTTATTGATAAGACATGTATGGTTTACCTTATCAAAAGCTTTTGAGAAATCTAGGTAGATGATATCAACCTTCCTCTTCTGATCAAGGATGCTTGTCCATCTGTCCACCGCAGTCAGCAGGTTCGTTATACAAGAGTAATCATTCCTGAAACCATGCTGTTGGGGTGAGAAGAAATTTAAGGACAGTAAATGGTCATTTATACCAACGCATATCAGGGACTCCATGATTTTTGAGGGTATGGAGAGAAGAGCCACCGGTCGATAACTGGAAGGTTTGCTGCGTCGACCTCCTTTGAAAATTGGCGTGATGTGGGCCAGCCTCTAATTTCTCGATAGTTTGCCTCGGCTTAGCGATTGTGAGAACATCACACTAAGCGGTGTTGCCAGAACTGAGGCTGCTTCCCTCAACTTAGCAGAATGAATCATATATGGACCAGGTGAAGTGTCTTCTCTTAGGGGCTGCAGTTTCCGGAACACCAAGTCAAAGCTCAGGTTCACTTCGGAAAGTCCTGTGGAATTGCAGATGAAGCTTTCGTCAGTATAGTTTATGTGGGTCGGTTGAAGAGTCCGAGAGTATTGCTCAGCCAAAAGGTTAGCGGCATCGCCGTCGTTATTGGTCGGGCCATTAGGACCTAGCAGTTGGAAAACTCCAGTTTTGGCTTGACGAAGAGAAGCTTCATCACGGAATAAGCTTTTAGGATTAGAGGCAAATTTATCCATAAGCTTTGTCTGGTACTGAAGCCTGTCGTCTATTATAGCCTTCATGCATATGTTCCTTATATGTTTGTATTGCCTGTACGCTCCGTTGTTGTCAGTTCGTTTGTACTCTAACCAACAGTGCCTTTTGCGGCTTATCAGTGAAGAGTGCGGTTGTTGATGATTGTAGGTAGCTTGCAGCTTTTGGGGACCGTTTGAGGAACTGACTGCTTTGTAGCACAAATGAGAGTGTGCAGTAAGAAGTGCCCATGAGCATCCACATCAGGTTGAGGGTGAACATCCCTATCCACCTGTTGTAGATGGTCCTGTAAAGCTGACACATTCGAACGTTTGAAATTCCAGCACTTGTTGTTGGTGGAATATCTTGGCTCAGTTTTGCTGACAAAACTGAAGGCTATCATGGCGTGATCGCCTTTCCCCAGGAAAGCCAGGATTGAGTGGTTGTCAATTAGAAATTTAATAAAACTTACGAACATTGATCCAAAGATAGGCGGTAAAATTAACGTTTGTGTACTTTTCTGGTATAATTAAGTGCTCGGAACTCTCTGAATACGCTTACTCAAGACATAGACGCTATTTTTTAGCAGTAATTTGAATATTTTTATTCCTGTAAATCACAGGAATAAGGTTTGTTCACAACTTAAAAACAATTTTTCTGTCATCTGAGTTATGATTGGTAGTATTAGTAACCCTAATGACGGCTCGGATAGATCAGTGGTAACGTCTCTGACTGTGAAGCTGGGTGACACGAGATCGAATCCGCCAGGGAGCACCAGTTCCCTTGCTGACGAGTGCCAAGTAGCACGAAAACCGGATCCAGGGTTTCCTGTTGACTACCGCCAACCACCATCTAAACCCTAATGACAGCTGTTCGTATAGGGGGAGATAGTAGTTGCACTGACACGGAGGTTGCGGTAAATTCACGAGTATGGGGGGTTTTCCATGATATTATATCATGATGTAAAACGCCACGTTCCTTGCACTTATTCTGCCCATTTTGTCAATTTTCTATGCCTTGCAATTTAAGCCAACATCATAAAACAGGGATACAACTAACATACCCTGTTTCTAGCAATGAAACGTTGTTAAAGGAGAAACAAGAAAAGTAAAGCAGATGATCAAGAATTTAAAAATATAATAAGTCTGGAATATGTATACAATTATGATCTTGTCCAGACATAAACGATTGTTGTTGGTCAGTGCTGAAAATATATGTTTATTATAAGTTATAAAAATACAAATGGGAATGTTTGGTTAACATTAGAAATGAACCAGATGCAACTAGAGTGGCTATTAATGTATTACTATACTGGTATTGCTGTAAATGGTGGTGTGGTATCTACTGTATGCTGACATGTGTACACACATGGGAATAAGGACATTATACTAGTATAGATGATCTATGACGTCCATATTATTCTTCGATTACGTAGTTTCCCACCCATCTACTCTTGTTCATCCTGTTTAATATGTATTGAAAAATGAACTCTCAAACTAAACAGTTCTGTAAGTTTTTGACGTTGATCCTGAACTCATTAACTTTACTGGAAGCATCCCAAAATCTTGACCAGATCATGAGTAGCTAGGTCGTACTACTCACCCCTACCAACGATTAGTCAGCGTAAATTCTATATTTTTGACACATAAGTTACCTGTCATATATTATCTTAGAACCATCACTTCTGGTTTGAATGACTTTGATTTATCTGATTATAAATGCGTTAATGGAAAAAGAGTCGTCAAATCCTGAATGTCTTCCATATCTTTAAATCTTTGGTGCTGGACAGGGTTATTGTTGATACTTACCGACGATTACATTCCTTCTACTGTATTGCTTCCATTTTGTTATTACCTGCTTGATATCGACTGTTTGACTTGCCTTTTTATCATGAAGGCTGCCACGTTGGTTGTCTACTCTTTCTTTGTGCTTACTTCAGCTGGTTGGTTTGAATTATTCCTTTTCCGAAGTACAGTACATTTCCCGCTTATTATAAATGCTTATGCCCATAACATCCATAACGTTTCGTTTTATTGTTACCGTATAGGTTTATTCATTCATCTCTGAGTGTGTTAAAACTATCTACTCAATATCGTAGTTCACCATCCTTTGCTCGGTTGAAATACAGTTAATCGGTGACAAATGACTAATATCGTAGTTCCTAATATTTTCATAATTGTTTCTATGTTTATGTTGTGCCCATTTTCGGAAATATCATTTGACTGTAAAAACCGCTTCCTGAACCTGTCAAGGAGTATTACGTAATTTTTATCTTAATACTTATTTTGCATAGAACCAGCATCACGCTTTTTATTGAATACTGTGTTTTGGCTCATCGGTTGGTGTGGATTACATGTAGTGGCATTGGACCACAACCACACAATCCTCAAAGCTAAACACGAGAATACTCGGAAAAAAGATATTCATTATTTAACGCGCAGAAATACCTGACGATGGAGAAGGAGAGAACAAGGAGTTGAATTAATTGGAGTTGATCGAATGGCATGGCTCAGCCTTACAGGCGTGGTCCTTGTTGAATGTTATCTTATATATATATATATATATATCTTTTATTCATATTAAACATATTGTTCTATCTCTAGCCCAAGCTTGTTCTATATCATGTATCGGTGATTGTTACGATACAATGAGTTGGTGTAGACGATGGTATGACTTCTACGTATGTTCTTATAGATTAGGCAGGTATATCATGATAAGTCTACAATTCTACGATTAGGTCTATTATTAGCGCAGTACTCATAGCATAGCAGACCTTAATTCTGCATATATACTGCATATTTGGCCGTGAAGAGTACAGTTCACAAACTTTAATCAAAACGGTGATGTGGTCTATATGTGGTTTTCCTTTACATTTCTGATTTGGAATATATGACGCATAAATATTGATATTTAACGATTAATCTCTGCAATTATTTAAGACTTTCGTAGCATCATTCTAAAGTAACATTTCA